AGGAACGTCCTGGTCACAGAAAATACAGGTTACTCTTCCCACACCCCTTGAGTAAGAAAATTTAAGAGATGAAATTCTTCCTTTTTTTTTTGTGGCCTGAACATGCCTTCAGGGCATTTCTGGTTTGGTGGGAGTATCTGGGTTCGAACCAGAGCAACTTGAGCCTCACTGCTTTTTTAAGCAGGCACATAAACAACTGAGCTAATGGGCAGGCCCCCGAAATTCTTCCTTTGCCATGCAGCTAGGTGAAAAGATACCTGCTCATCTTAGGAAAGAATCAGTGACAGTAACTTTAGAGCTTACAACAAAGTAGTGTTCACATGTGAATGTGCTCACAGGATTTCAGTTTACACAAATTTCTGCAAGTGAAATCCTGGCTGCTGCTGCTTTAAGCAAAATGCAGGCATATGGACAGAGCAATCGGCTTCATCAAGATTGTGGTAGGCAGACAGAAGATGTACCGGATGGACAGTATCTGCATTCTGACAGATCACTTTCCTTTAGAGCTCAAGAAAAGAGAATAATGATAAATATGGAGTTGGGGAATTTAGGATAAAGGATGAAAAGTCATGAACAAAGGGAGAAACCTGAGACAGCTCAAAGAGACCACATGTTCCCTGTGACGGGAATGTTTGATCTATCAAAAGCTGGGGCGGCAGAGTAGATAAGAGTGTAACTGGCTGAGAAGAGCCCTTGTGGGAAAGAGATGCATCTCTGGGCATCTCCAAGGACTGAGTCATGGCAGGCAGAAAGATAATGCTGCAAACATTCAAGAGAAAGAAAAAGCAAAGAATAGAAGTGCAGGAAGAAACATTTGCAAGCAACAGCTGAGCAAGCTAGAAAGGCTGGCTGTGGAGAAGGGCAGGGGCAGAGTGCCTACTGCAGGATTCCAAGAAGGGCCGTCCTCAGAAATGGATCTCTTTTCCATACACAACTATGGAAAAGAAAAAGCAAGAGAGAGCCAAGAACCAGGCTCAGAACACGAATGCTTCCAAGCACACAGTGTCTGGGCCTGAGGAGGCGTCTGAAGGAGGGGCTCCTCCAAGTGTGCAGAAGGAAGGCAAGCGTCACAGGCACACAGCACTGTACCTGGCTCACAGGTATTTTTAAAGGTGCTATAGTGATGATTGTGAACATAGTTAAGGGCCACTGGACCATCCATTTTAAACAAGTGCCAGGCATAGTGGCACCCACTGAAGCAATGGAATAGCTATGGCTTTACCTGTGTCCATCTTGTGACAGCCCCAGCCTCAAATCCTTTGTTGGCTTTTTTTCTCTTTCTTTTTTGTATTTTAAGGAAGGGTCTACAGGGCGTTCAGGGTCTCACTACTAGATTTGACTCATAGTGATCCGCCTGTTTACAGCCTCCTAAGTGCTGAGATTACAGGCTCACACCACCACGCCCAGTCTCAATTGCCAAGTCAGCGCCAGGGCCAGCACGGCAGGCCTAGGGATCAAACCCCTGGCCCCTGTGCTCTGCTTTCAGGTGCTTTAATCGGCTGAGCTATTTGGCCGGCACCCCCTTTGTTGACTCTTGAGTCATTTCTGGTGTAAAACTGTCTGATCCATGATCTCTGCTTAAGTAAACTCTAACTTCATTGTGCTGTTTACTTTTCGTACATCTAAATATTCATTCACTTCCTCATTTATACATTCAATGAACATGCATTAACCTCATGCTTAAGTACCAGGCTCTACGCTAAGGATTAATAATCCAAGAAGAAAATATACCCTTCCTAGAAAGTGTCTATTAAGGCATATGCACGTAAATGTACATTTATACTTCTTCCATAGAAGTGAATTATTCATTACAGGTTCAGGCAATGCTCACATCAGGGATTTTCCACTAATAATGTACCCGATTCAGTGATATGCTACAATAGTCCAGAAAGCAATGAGAAACATCCATGAAGAAGTCTATGGCAAGTATCTTGTGTTAGTGAAAAGCTGATAAAATATGTGTTTAGTAAGAGTTTTTGTTAAATTATGGTACTAATGACAGGATAAGAATTCTATTTAAAATCTCTCAAAACAATGTTGGAAACTACAAAACATTGCAAATATTGATTTCCTATTATAGGATATAAAAATCCAGTAAGTATCATGATGCTGCTTTTGTATATAGGAACTGCTTTTATATAAAAACAAGCAAAAATATTTTTACACAAAAATGACAGTGTTCATTTGCATAAAAATACTAACAGTACATAAAAATGATGATAGTGTTCATTTGCATTAAAATACTAACAGTGCAGACTAAGTGCCTACTTTGGCAAGTACAGGGACCAGGGTTTGATCCCTGGTCCTTCGTGCCATGTTGGCCCTGCTCCCCGGGGTGCACTGAGCTGGCGACAGAGTCTGGGTGTGGTAGCACATGCCTGTAATCCCAGTGCTGGGGAGGCTAAAAACAGGAGAATCACAAGTCCAATCTGTGTAGTGAGACCCTTTATCAAACACACACACACACACACACACACGCACGCATGCACACACATGCACATGTACACACACCCCTAACAATGTTAGCATGTGGATGATGGGGTCATAGATGGCTTATTTCTCCTTCCTAAAATGCAAGCCACATGAAAGTGCAAATCTGCCACAACTTATTACTTAGAAAAACCATACAACATGATCCAGGGCTGGCAGGGTCACTGCCACCTCTGTCACCCATCAGGACCCCACCTTTGATATAGCAGCCCCACATACTGACACATGGTCACAGGGAGAGAGCTTCACTAGTGACATTCTCAGGTATCATCTTTATACCAACTCTATGACCCCTTAGCTGGCAGATGTGTTGTGTTTCTACAGTCTTGGACCATCCTGGATTAGTACATGTTTTGTAACCCCCTAACAAAATGATAACTGGCTTGTTACTAGGAGGTGGACACATCCTGGTACTAACCCTTCAAATAGCAAAGCCAAGAGCAAAGCAGGTCTTGCCACTATTCCCAGTTATAGATGAGGACCCAAGGCAGAGTCACACTGATCTCTGCTGTCCTGTATGGATCCTGAAAAGAAGGTAGTGATAATGAACCCAACACCAAACACAATCACCTCAGTCAGACCACGTTTGTTGTCCTCCTTGGAGTGTAATATTGATAGGTTTACCAGTTCAAATGCCTGATTGATCACATGTCAACTTTAGAAAGGCATCTGATTAACACTAACATCTTTCCAAACAACATTGGAAATGTCAAATGGCTGGAACAACACAGATGGTAGGAAAATCCGGGGCTGGCGGGACACCCAGACCCGCAAACATTGGTTCTTAGTCAGAACCAGAGCAGCACTGTCTGGGGGTGGGTGCAGCATGTGTGCTGTTTCTGACAACATGGCCCATACTGATGGCTGGAGGATACATCACAACTGATCAATTTTCCAGGGGCTCAAAGTGTGAAAGGAGCAGAGTGAATTAAGCATTTGAAGCATCTGCTGGGTTAGCTAAACAGGTTAGTGAAAACTAATGAAATGAAATTTAATGGAACGAACTGTAGTAACTGAGAATTGTGGATCAAAGAAAAAAGAAAATCCTAACAACTGTATAGACTTGGAGACCTGGAAACTCAAGTCAACCAAAGCCAGGATTTCTGCCAAATGTGCTTCAGTACCTGTCAAGAAGGGTGAGCAGTCTGCCTGGATAAACTGAAGTATAGTCTGCACAAGGGAGGAGGCAGGCTAGTTCTACTGCACACGCACAGTAACTCAAGGTCTTGGCACAAAGGAAGGCTCTGAAAGGGACAATGGGTACAATGGGAAGGCCTGGGTATTTTTTTCAGGGAAAGTGCAGAACAGTGCAGCAGGTTCAGGGAATGCAGAGCTCAAGAGACCATTTAGACCCATCACAGGCACATCTGTAAAACATTGCCACTGTGTGGCTTACCATGTGCTCGGTGCAGGATAGGTGCTGCCCGTGAGTGACTGTGTTTACCTATGTATTTTCATGTTCAAGGAATCACCAGCCTGTTCGGTCTCTTACAGCCATTGCACTGTGAGGCAGACTGCAAACAACTCAAACCATCCACACCCACACCTCTACCCAGAGCTGGTCACGTCCCATGGGAGGTGGTGGCCTCTCAGGTGGTGCCTGGCCTCCTGGGTTCTAAATTCAATGAATAGTTCCACAGGATAAAAGGCCCCCATTTGCAGGCCTGGTTTTCTGCGGAAGCTAGAGAGGAACATTTCCATTTCTGGATACAGCAAGGACACAGCAGGCTCCAGGGGCCTCCTGTGTGTGCTCAGGCCAGATTCCTCCCCAGGACCCAGGGCTGGCAGGTACCTTCAGCCCAGACAAGTGTCTCAAGACCCCAAAAGCACTGACTCATCACTTGAATGGAAAATTACAACCCCAGGGTCTCTGGGCTATGGTTTGCTTTGGAAACCCTCCTTTCTTCTTGAAGTGTGGCTACCGGGAAGGAGACAGTTCTACCTCTGCAGCCCATAGGGAATGAATGTACACGCATGTGTGGTGTGCCTGTGGTGCCTGAGTGTGTATGTGCCTGTGTGTATATGAGCCTGAGAGTACATAACTGTGCAGATATGAGTGCCTGTGAATGTGGTGTGGTGATTATGATTACTAGTATGAGAGCAAGTGTGTAAGAGTGAGTTCGAGTTTGATAGTGCGGTTGTGTGGGGAGCCTGTGGGTATGTATGAGTGTAAAGCAAGTGTGTTTGTCTGTGTGCCTATGTGATTATCTGTCTTGTGAGTGTGATTTCGTGGAAAGTAGGAGTTCATGTGTGTGAGTGTATGTGTTAATGTCCCTCAATGGTCTTGGGTCAGGTTCTAGAAAGAGGCGAGTCACCTCTGTATGCACGGAGGGGACAGGGAGTGCTCGTGGGCTCGGCCCCGCGAGGTCCTAGCCAAGGGGACCCCCTTGGCACGAGGGGGCGCAGTGCCACTGCAGGCTGGGACACGCGGGCCAGGCAGCTGGGGGCGGTGCCTGGGGCGGTGCAGGCTCCAGCCTGGCAGCTCTGGACGCCGAGCTCCGCCCCAGGAACCGCCGGCAGGCACGCAGACCCGGCAGCCTGGAGCCCTGGCCCGAGGTAAAGTTGTGCGGGGCGTGGGCCAGGGTCTCCTCCCGGTTCCGCTAGGAGAAGAGACTCTGCGGGGGCGCGAGAGCGGCACGGTCCGCGGCAGCCTGGTCAGAGCGCGCATTTCTTGATGATTACAACGCGGGGGTCCCCAGCATGTGGGGACTCCTGGGTTGTGGAGGTCCCTGCGACGTGGGGGGCCGTAGGCTTTGTAGGCACCGCCCCACGCTGTGGCTGGAGGGCGTTGGTTGCGTCGCGCACTTTCCAGGAGGTCCGCGAGCCCGCCGACCGGATCCCGCCGTCACCCGTTGCCCGCGCGGGTCCTGCAGGAGCCGGGTGAGAGGGTCGGGGGGTGGGCAGGGTCCCTCAGCGCCCGTGCCCGGTGCGGGGAGGTGGATGCCCCCACCGGCTGATAGCAAACGCGGGCACCTCCCCTCCCCTCCACCTGCTTCCCTGGCCTCCGCCGGGGCCAAGAGAGTTCTTTCTCCTGCAGCCGCGAATTCTGCAAACTCGAAACTCTGGGTAGCGGCCGGCTCCGGACAGTGGCTGGGGCAGAAGTGTTGGGCACTGACAGGGTCCAGGCTTCGGTGGATACAGCTGGGGAGTAAGCTGAGCGCCTCTGTGCTCACGAAGCTTCCCCAAACCCACAGGTCCTTGAGAACCCAGGGCGTCCTGTGCGCGCGTTTGCCCCCCGCGGTCGTGGTGTGGCAGGTGGAACCTGTCCAGCCACCTTGCTCTAGCCGAGAGCGGCGCAGCCAAAGCTGTCTCTAGCTCGATGTCCGTTGCTCCAGAGCCTCCGGAGCTCGCCGCGCGTGGCTTGAGCTGGGTTCTTGGTTCTTAGAATTCTGGCAGTGTTAGTCTCTGCCCCCTGCGACTCCCTAGCTGAAGAGATGACTGTCAAGCCAGGGTTCAGAACAATATGAACAATGGATCCTCACCCACTTGGGAAGTGTTGGGGCTATTAAGTGATGGTCCTTTCTTCAGCCCTGCCCTTGGGTCAGTTAGGTAAACCCCGAAGGTCAGATACGGCAGAGGGGCCTCCTCCATGGGCACTTTTCACTTCTGCTGAGAATTCTGAAGGATACACCAGCCTCAGAAGAGACAGAGGAGAAAGGGTTCCTTATCATAGCCTGGATCCTTCCCCTGCCCTACCCTTTGACCTCCCTCACGGTTGGTCTCAAATGCTTTAGTCCTTGTTGTCATCAGTGAATTGGAATGCTCTGAACTGTCTCATTCTGGGGCCACTATGGTGCATTTGGGGATGCATTCCATTTGGTGGTGGGTCTCTGTTCCGCACCAGTCAGACAGACAGGATTATGCAGCTGCCCAGAAATGACTGGTGTTTCTGTGTCTTAGTTGGGGAGAGACTATGAAAACAACTCCCAGACAGTTTCCAAGGCCAAAGTCAATTTATATATTCCACTTTGCAAAAAATATTTTTATATCTTGAAATTTCCATAATTTAAGAAACAAATTGGGTGTTTGTGGAGGCATGAGGAGAAAGGAAGGAGGGGAGTTCCTGGCTGACACAGGGGAGCTGTGCAGTTTTCTTTTTCAGTGCCTGGCAGAGGCCTGCGTGGGCCAGATGCTCAGAAAAAATGTGTGCTGGTTAATTAATTATTTGAGTTATAATTAAGAGTTTCTACCTAGTGCATGGCTGGGAGTGGTATTACCATAATTACAGGTGTATGTGCCATAATTAGTAGGTCCTATAGAACACAAAGGTTAGTGGGAAATGATAAGATGTTGAGTTTGCTGTGGAAAATGCATGTCCTTGAGGACGAGCTCCCTCTGATCTGGCATGATGCAATCTCCCTCTTGTCCCGTGGTCTGGGCTGGCTTTCTGGAAAGAGTGTCTTACCAAGCATGAGGAGGGCAGGAGGAGCTGAGGGTGTTTGGAGTGGGAGGCACTATCGGCAGCCCGTGTGGTGTGGATGTGGAGGGGAGGTGGAGCGGTGGTCCTGGGTTATGCAGGTGCTGGGTGGGGCAAGTTTGAAGTAGGCCGGTGTGCCCAGGGAGTTCAAAGTGTCCTTGTGGGTCCAAATATCTGAGCACTTTCCCACTGATGGTAATTTCATGAAGAAGAGAGGGATTTAGGGCTAACACTGTGTTCGGGAACCTTGTCTGAGATGAGGAACCATGGGGTTCTCCACTGCTGGTGGTCAAGTGGCTGGATGAAGCCTGCCCTGGTGTGTTCCCTGCCTCCTTACTCTGAGAAGGGGTGATGGCTCAATAAGAGGACAGACTCAGCAATCCTCCCAATGATCCCCAGAGCCCCACAGGGAGAGAGGTCCTGTTCTCAGCCCACCCAGCCTGCCTGAGGCAGAGCCCTCCTTAAACAGGAGGCTCTCTGTACCTTCTGGTTGGGGAGGCACTCAGAGTCCTTCCTGGAGTTAGAGAATCCCCCTTTCTCTTTCATAGTGGGGCAACCTCCTTGGAAGACTTGCAGCTTTTCATAGCTAAGCTGAGGCTGACCAGCATAGCTGGCCCCCTGACTTGCCAAGCATCTCACCTGTGGGCACCTGCAGCCTTTAAGGGGCTCCCTTTGCTGTGCATGTTGGTGTAGAAGAACAAGCCTAGGAAGCCATGAGAAGCAGCGGTGAACCAGCAGTGGCATTCCTTTGAGGACAGATGTAGGAAGTGGACCTTACTGGCTACTGATGTAGACAAGTTTGTAGTCTGCATGTAGATTCCAATCAGTTGGGAATGCTGTGTTAGTACTCTCAGTTTCAGAGGAAAAACATGTATTGTAGTAAAGAAAAATCAGTAATACAGTTATTCAGAAAGAAAATATCCAACATTTTCATTTGTGAGTTTAGAAATGTAAAATTTGGAAGTGTAAAAACAGTACGAGAAATTTTCTTGGTGCTTTATTCAGTTAAGGAAAGCGATCTGCACAACAGAAAGGCACTCATGGTGAAGGCAGAGGCCCCTTCTCCTGGTGGGGTTCCCAGGGTTTTTGCCCACCCCAGGAAATCTGGGACCTTGCAGTGCAAACCCCTCTTCCTCCACCAAGTACCTGTGCCACTGTGAGGCACTCAGCATGGCATCTATCAGGGTACCAGGCACCCACAAGGACAGAGCAGGACACTACTGTGGCCAGGAGCCTAGGTGGCAGTTTTTAGAGTATAATGACTCTCCTGTATACTTTTAACCTTCTCAGATATTTACATGATGGAGTTTGAATGTTAGATGAGACTTGGGTGGTGTTGGGCACATGAAATCAAAGGCTGGAATTCAGGGGCCCAGCAGAGCCTCAAAAACCCTTGGGTTGATCTGAAAATGGCAATTTTAATTAAATTCAGCCAGAAGAGGCACGTTCTTTTCTGTAGAGGACGAGCTATAGTGTGAAGGCTTGTGGTCTACTGTATCTGACCTAAAGCTCACTCACCTTGTAGCTGCCTAGCTCCTGGTGCAACCTCCATCTGGGGTCTTCTTAGGAGCCTAAGCATGGCCTGGTGTTGTCCCACATGGCTCTTTCCTTGCACGTGGAGAGGAACCAATGAGTCTTCTGATCTACCCACATGCTTCCCCTGCAGATGGTGGGGATCACAGTCTGCTCTGTTCTGGACCCAGCTGCAGGGGTTCTGATGTGGTGGGGGAGGGGGAGGGTGACAGTGAGCATTTGTGGGGATTGTGGACATGTTGTCCAGGTGATTCTCATCATTGGGAAGCTGCCAATTTGTCAGTATTCTAAATATTACTCTAATGGACCATACTTACAGATAAGCATTTGAAAAGCTGGGTTTAGTTTAAAGTTGTAAACCAGGAAGGCTGTTGATACCTGAAACTAACTCTTACGCAGCACACTGGTCACAGGCCCACTCCCCTGCAACAGGGATACCAGCACTTCAACCTGTGTAAGTCTTTGGAGAGAGGCTGACTGTGGAAATCATGCATGTTTCCTCTGAATTGTTCCTGGTGGCCAGGACATATGGTGAAAACATGTCTCTTGTGCTGCTAGTAGACAAAGACTCTTACCTCTGGTGGCCCTCTGGACCATGGCTGCATGCCTGCTTGTGTTCACAAGGACGTGCTCTGCTTTTCTTCCAGATGTGTGGTTTTGGACATCACACATGACCACGTCCTAGTGAAAGGTGGAGTTTTTCATTCATGACACCTTTTCTCATCTGTGGTGCTTTTCTGTGGTATTCTTGGTGGCTTTCTCCCATCAGTTTTGTTTGTCATATTTCTGGCATGAGCTTCTTCCCAGATTGTCCTGTGGGTGGCTGTTTGCACACCCTGTCCCCTGGCACCATAGCAGATACTACAGTATTTAGTAACTACCGCAGCACAACTGTGTATGTGGTTGTGTGGCCCAAAGTAGGTTAAGCTGATCAAAATTTCTGAACATGCAGTAAGGGCTGGATCCTGTTCTTGGGGTGATATGTTAGAATTAGAAATTCAAGTACTAACATATAGTAGTCTCATGTGGAGGAAGAAGAAATACACATACGTGTGCACACACATGCATGAGTCTGGAAGGCAGGGAAGGCAGCCTTTGAATGAGTAAACAGGTAATGGAGAGAGACTGAAGCGAAATCCCAGAAAGACAGGTGACTCTGCCCAGACAGGTCTGTGATAAGCAGTCCATGCGTTTGTGCTTGTTCACCAAGATCTCCCTTATGCCAGTGTGACAATGGACTGTACGTGAATCAGATTAGCTTTGTGTTATTATGTATAACAGAATACCAGTGAGGCTGCTTTATAAAGAGAAGCAGCTCACATCTACAATCTTAGTTACTCAGGACACTGAAAGGGGAGCATTTCAAATTTAAGGCTAGTCTGGGCAACTTAATGAGACCTTGTCTCAAAGTAAAAAATAAAAAGAGGTGAGAATATTGATCAATGAAGAATACTTGCCTAGCCTTGTAGGGCTCTGGGGCCATTACTCACTTCTTCCAGGAAAGAAAGAAAGAAAGAAGAAAGAAAGAAAGAAAAGAGAAAGAAAGAAAGAAAGAAAGAAAAGAGAAAGAAAGAAAGAAAGAAAAGAGAAAGAAAGAAAGAAAGAA